CTGGGCTGTGACCTCGACGTCGTAAATTCCGCGTCATAGCGGTTGTCACCGGTTCACCTTTTTACGAGCGTACCGCGGCTTGCATTCACGGCTCGCTCGAGATGTACCCGCGTTGCCAGGGTCCTCCGGATCAGTTGTGGATTGTTAAAAGAACCTCTTCGACGAGAAGTCCGTGACAGCGACTTAGTGCATCTTCCACGGCGGTTTTGCTGCTGACTTGTCCTTAAAGGACCTGAGCCCCTTCTTAAAGGACTACTTCGAATAACTCGTAAAATAAGCATATACCTATTATATATAATTTTTTAACAGTCTTTTTACAATATAAATTTCTTACTGAAACATTATTTATCGTTTAAATATTGAGAGTTGATTGAATATTAATTTCAAAATAGTAATTATGTCCAGTTTCTTTCCCTCACTCTTCATAATTAACAGAAGTCTTAAAACTGCATGTTATACAAAGATGTTTCTAATTCTGGAATTTACACATATGTAAGAATATTTTACACGTATATCCACGTTACATTGCACAGTCGTAGATTAAATATTTCGCGCAGATACAACGCTACCGTAGCGACTGTACTTTAAACGGATTTCGGAATAGGATCTGTTTATATGTGAGGCTGGTTAATGTGCCGGTTCTGTTCATCGACAGACAAAGATCCTTTTAAGATCCGAGATATGACAAAGTTTTGATTTATAGCCACGGCGTAATCGACCACGGAGAAATGACAATAATTCGTTAGCGAAAGAGTCACGTTATTGATAGCGACTCGACTCACATTGTCACCCGAGACAACGTTAATGTGACTAAGCTCCGCCTTGCTAACAGCGCTTATATGCGCAAGTATGCGCCGCGAATTATCTATCGTACTTTGTATATGATTAACGTTTCATAAGTATCTCAATTATTACCTTTTTACTTACGGATCGTGTGGAAAACAACGTTCAAGGTGATGTCTCTGCCTCCTAGAAAGAACATATATCGCAGTTTAATGGCTGATTGCTTTGTCATCGTCCTCTCGAGGACATCTCGTTCGACGCGGTCAGCAGCATTCCTGACAAAATTCCAGCTCGGATTTAACACGTAACAAAACGATCTGCTATACATTGTTATTACAGTCGCAATTTCTGAAGTGGTCTGAGAACGAGGTGCAAGTAATTTATATACGAGTTGTTTATTGTGCTTTTACGCAGTTTTTAATAAATTCACCTTCACAGTAAATAGCTTAGAAGGTTTTGCTGCTATGAGCGAAATAGCAATGGAATAATAAGAGCCTTTGATGAAAATGCACGTTATATTACGTAGATATTGGAAATTAAATAAAATATTCGGTGAGTGCGAGTTATTCGATGCGCACTTTTGAAAGCCTTGAATTAAATTTCGTTCTTATAGACAAAACCTTAAATCTACCTCGCCAGCCCTCATGCTTTATATTTTAAGCGCTTCGCGCGTTTCTCGTATACTCTATACTCGCAACATCAGAAATCGCAACCCCGTGACCCCGTCGACACGTGAAAATAAATCCCGTACAGAGTCACGAAGAAAATTCGAGGAGAGAATCTCTCCTCCAAAAGGTGAGAAAGAACGACACGAATCGAACGTCCTCTGTCCTCGTCGGCAGGTCGACGACGCCGAGTTATGCACTTAATCGTTCCGCTTCGTAATTAATCGGACCTGGTAACGAGCTGCGTGCGGAGATCCTCGCTGTTGGAATTGCGAACATTTATCACGTATTAATTAAGCGATTAGTTCGCGGCGTTGCTAACGAGGAAGCTTAGTATGTAAGAATTTCTTTGGTTAAGGCGCCATCGGGCAATTTCTACAACGCTAGTCGTCTTAGGCCCAATGGAATTCGAGCATATATAATTCTAAACGTTAGCACATCCAATAATCATGGTTTATTGATCCTTAAGAAATAACTTATTATTTCCTATCGAATAGCCAGCGGTACGTTTATCGGATATATCCAGGCCACCACTTGATTTACGTTTGTTCTTCATCAATTTTCTACGCTTTCTGTTTCTTACAATCTCCGCATCAGCGATTTCTTATACCCACGTGTCCGACTTTAATCCGAGTTTAAGTTATAATTATTGCAACGACAATCGTCACTTTTTACGTTTGCGCGTTGAAAAAAAGCGCGCGTGAACTATACACAAATATTAAAATCAAAAAAAAGCTTGTTGTAATCGAATCCGATTTGCGACATCAGTGATATAATATATTTCAGTACACAAATTTTTTTACGTTCTTGTTTCGCAAGATGCGTCGCGTCGCATGTGACGCGCTGCCCCCGCAATTTTCTCCGCCGAGAGGAACCTCAACGTGTCCACATGGGAAACATTATAGCTCTGATTTTCGCGTAGGTTGACACCAGTTCCTGGCCGTGACACGTGGCGCCAATGTGGCGGCGACAGTTGGACGTTATACGCCGATGTCACGGTGTTCGTATTACGGCACGCTGCATTTCTGCGGAAATGCTGGAGCCTCGTTTATCAATCGTTGCGCAAGGTTGCGTCACGAAATCAATCTGACGCGTGATACGTCACTGCCGCAGCGTGTCCGCGACGCTGAAGTAAATTTTACGTTACGGTCATATTTGCAGATACATCGTAAAACGACCGTCGTAACTCAAATGACGGCAATCAGTAGTTTCAATGGTCATAACTAAACATGCGAAGCTTAATAGCTCTGCTCATTTCAGAGATGTAAACCGGTTTCGAATCGCCTGGTTTTCCGATACATCCTGACGCGACAATGAGCCGTACATCTACTTCGCCGCGTTTTCCTTCTCGATTCGCGATCTAGAAAACGAAGCATCTAATTCATATACATACGTCATAAATATAATTGAATTAAATTAAAGATAAGAGAAATATTGGACATTGTCTTATAAAACCTATGTATAAAATGTCTCGCAACATAAATTTTTCTCTGTATAACATTCCCAAGCTATCTTAGCCTTATTAAGATATATCAATCGTAAAGAAACAAAATTATCAAATACGTTCAATGGTCACGCAACAAAAAACATGTTTCGGATAGATAATGTGGTCACGTCGTGACTTCTCTGACCACCGAGAAGAATTATCCTAACGATCCACGACAACAAAAGATTTACAAGAAGAAATAAAGTTGGGCACACCGGTATAAATAGCGAGCACGAGGTACCGTTGTGACCGTACCGGGGTCGGGGTGATGCGATCGTGATCGATGTAGATCGTTCTTTCGGTCTATCTGCGGCAATCCGTGCTCGGTTAGACTCGGTGTGTCTCCTACCTCAGCCAATCTACATATACCGGTAAACTACGTGCTTTTACGGGCACACATAGCGGGAGACCTTCGTGCACATGCACGCGCGAATAAGTTATACATACATATATAAATACATAACAACCGAGATCTGTTTCCGGGTCACGCTACGGCAGGTTGACGCCAAAGATATCGGCGCTATTGTCCTTCGTGCTCGATATCTACGATCCATCGCATCGATTAGCATTGATTTGTGGATCATCGTGATTGGCCCGCGGCCAATGCCGATTTACTCGGATACGTATGTAGATAGTTGCGACGGGAATCTTCCCGTCTGGCGGACGATCACGAGTAATCAGCTGGTCATTCGCCCGCGGTGAGAGACAAGATCGAAATCGCTCGATCTTCACGTAGACCTGACGCACACCATCTATGACTCGCTCGGATATTTCATAGTCAATAGCGTATCTGAATCATCGCGATTGAACGTTTAAGATTTGCTTACGTAATACACGATGAGACGTCCGCGAATTCAAGTTTGCCTTGGTTAAAATTTGAGAAGAAAACAGACTGATAGAGACTGTTGCTTAAAGCGCTGATAAATTTCTGTTAGATTCGAATCTCTACACTCTCCTTTCGCTGGTGGTTACGGGCGTAGCTTTAATTGCATCGCAACGATCTCCCGTGAACCGAGAAAGACACCTGCGACCAATGAGAGTTGCAGCTGATATCCGAGTTTCTTAGATTACATAACGATTTGTGTCTAACGGAGTGTGGGACTCCAAGTGTGTTCCAGTCAGTGAATATAGGGATATTAGATTCAAATCGTATCTCTGTATCTTTTTTCTTTCTTTTTTTTTCTCGATAAATAGAATTGTATAAACTGCGAAGATAGAATTTCTAATTCAGCCACACCTCGGAAAGATGAACAAAAATATCTCTTCAGCATGAATCAAAATTGATTTTGACAAATCTCGTTGAAACTGGCATAAAGTGCGTCTCTCTTTCTCATTTTGACAGGATTTATCTCAGATCTATCTTTTCTTTTACGTAAGAGAATAAATATTGGAAACTATTCTTTGAAATTGGTGTCAGTGTAAAATCTCTCTCTTTTTTATTCTCTTATCTATACATGCACTTACCGGAACTAAATCGTTTCGCAAAAAAACTTTTCTTTTTTTCTGCCGTTTTATTCCAACGCTGGTCAACAGCCGTTGAAAGAAAACGACGCATAAAAAAAGAAAAACTTTTATCTCTCGCTGAACAATTCTTTGCCAATTTGTACTTTGAAGTATAATATCATTTTCAATCTCTACTTTTATTATTTTATGTTTATTCTTTGATCGTATCTTCTATTTTTATTTGCTATTGTTTTTTTCTTCTGTTTCTATAAGTCAAAGTTCATTTTTATTTATAAAAACAATATAGATTTAATTCATAATTTTCTATTTCAGATAGATATATATAATTCTTTCAAAATTAATTTTGATGGAAATATTCTTACTTATTGTAGATATTCATCCTATTTGCTTTAAGTATGGCTGGTAACATATCGATAGCGGGTATCATCTGCTTCTATGTGAATTGTACGTAATATATCGATAGCAGGTAGCATATATATATATTTTTACGTTTTTCCTACTCTACCGGTGTTCTTGATAAGTGAAACCATTTGTGATCTACATGTAATGTAAAGAAACCCATAGATGGATCTAAATAAGAATACTTTCCTACAGCACAAAGCCTTATAAAACGTTACGGTTCGAAGATTCAAACCTTCAGACAATGTAGCATGGTGGGTGAGTGCATGGCTCCAGTTGTAAGTTCAAGAACCTTTTTGTGTTGCTTTGCTAGTAGAACATCCGAGTTCAACTATTTTATTTCTTGATGAAAATAAGTTATGTGAGCAAAATTTGATCGCAGACAAAGTATCCTTGACAGTGACAGTGACAGTGAATAGCTATATGTTGTGTCAGCTAATCGTGAAGAAGCGAGTAAAACATTTGTTTGTCTCTTGGGGCTCTCTATATGAGAAGAAACTTACAAAGTATATTTCAATACTTTCATCAAAGTGACTTTATTGAAGTCAACCATAAACTGCAATTCACTGTGTTCGTTCCAAACAAAATACTTTCACGTGTGCTATATAAATTTCTCTTTTATCGATTTAACTGACAGAAAAACATCGAGGTATTATTTAGAATATTAAAAAATATTAAAACTTCATTTCTTTGTGTGGTTTTCTCAAGGCAAACCAGTGTAATTTCTATGATGTAAAGTTGACTCACATCTCACACGGATCTTCAATATTGGCTCTCACCATTCCTCCGCGATCCCACGTGTGTGTAAGTGCGCGGGTTGCGACAAGTAGTAGGTGTGATCATATACTTACCTTCACAGGTGGTCCGTTTTTCAATCACATCAGAAACAACGGCGTTGCAAGACAAACGCGTGAAATTTTTGTGATAACATTCGAGTTTATTTTTTGTGATTTATTTACACGATGATTATGAGGACGTTGTTCGCTGTTCATCCTGTATCTCTCTCATTGGTGTTCGTATTCACGGTCACTGCCATCAGCGGCAATTACAATGATATTAATCTACCGCGAGAGCACATCAAGCATTACTTCAACTCTTTTCCCACGGAAGCAGAAAAGTGCCGTAATGATCCCGCTTGTTTATATAAGGTAAGGTTTATATTTTTATATAGATTTTAATTTCTTGACGTACTTTCACTTTCTTACAAATATTTTCTACAAATGCTATGTGTAAAATTTTATACTTTATCACAGTATATTTCTTTCTTGCGCATTGTTACCTGATTTCATTACACATAATCTTGTTTTAATTTTATAAAAGTTTTCGATCACTTGTTATATGTATGAAAAATTTGTATATAATTAGTTTTGTTTAAAATTATCGATTTTGCAATATATTTCATAGAACAGTCTCGATACAGAAGCTTGTTGGGGTTACGAGGAAAATTGCAAAGCCGCGAATTTTTTTTCCGTTCCAAATTGTGCGGGCGACCACAAAGGATGGGTCGCCACAAAAAAAGCTCAACTAGATACTTTTTTCACACAAGGCGATTTTGGATATGTACGCGATCAGAGAAAAGAAATGATGCTATTATGTCAACCAGTTTTCCAGGTAAGTTTATACTAAAAAATTAAATAAATACAAAAAAATTAAATAAATAGAAAACATGATTTTGTTTTTAATAGAAAAAAGTTCGTATTTTAATATCGACAAAAACATGTAAATTTTATTTCTATTTTCAAGTCGATTCTTTAATTATAAATAAATATATCAAAAACAATAATCTACACAAATAGCAGTTAAAAAAACAAAATATATTACAAGATCAAAAACTTCCAAGTCACAAATCATAGTTAGATTTATATCTTGACACAATTTTGCGTTTTATTTTGCAGGATGATTCATCTCTGGAATGTTCAGAACATATGAGATTTTGCAGAGCACGAAACGTAATGGTAAATTTTACAGATTTATTAAATCGTAAAGAACCTATACGATATAAAATGGACGTTTTAAAAGAAGGTCAAATTGGTGGTTACTGCATGTAAGTAAATAAAAAAAAGTAAAATAAAATAATTGGTGCGAGAAATTGGAAAGTGTCTAACTCTCTCTTCTGCGATCAGACTAGACGAAAAGAGACTGCAGGAAAATGCGGATCATATCAGTCCGTTGCAATCTTGGGGACCAGAATTACGCAATTTTCGAAGGCTACGTCGTAGGCCAATAATCGATGGCGACTGTGATATTGTTATTGAGAAACCGACTTTCTTCATGAAAATAGATGCCAGTAAGTGTGAAAACATTTGCAAAACAATTTTGCTGAATAAAGGCTATTTACACGATAAAAAGCACAAGTAATAGAAATGTTATCTTATTAGCTAGACAAGAGAGAGAGAGAGAGAGAGAGAGAGATGAAATTAAGACGATCTTAAATATAAGATCCGCCTATAAATACTGCGATTCTTGAAATTTTTATCTTGTCTTTCTACTTTCATTTTTATTACTTGTGCTTTTTATTGTGTAATGGTCTTTATTCAGCAAAATTGTTTTACTTAAATTATGGCTCATATTTATTTATATTGTTAAAGTTGTTCTATTTCAGCAGTAAACATGTACCATCACTTTTGTGATTTCGTGAACTTATACATATCATTGCACGTAAATCTATCACATCCATCTGCCTTTGATACCGACAACCACATTTTAATTTGGGAAAGCTATAGGTATCAAGCATAAAATATAAAACTGAAAAATAAAGATTAATATAAAATGAAACTATTGTCGATTTATTTTGCTTTCAGCTATCGGTCGGCGTTCCAAGATACCTTCGAAGTATTTACAAAAAATCCACTATGGGACTTAAAAACATTCAGAGGAAAGATCGTATGCTTCAAGAATTTAGTGTTTCCCCTTTTGCCGCGAATGATATTTGGACTGTATTACAATACACCACTTGTAATAAAATTGTATATCTTTGCATCAAGATACACCATAATCCAAGAAAAACAGTTAAGAGAGCATTTTTTATTTAGATTTATGGCTGTGAAAAATCCGGATTATTTAAATCCTTTAGCGATCACGTGTTGCATCGACTACAAATACCTCTAAATCAAAGACAAGATCGGAAGATTCACGTTACATTGTTGAGCAGAGACACTCAGTACAGAAGAATCTTAAATGAAAACGAATTGGTAAAAGCTTTGAAAGAAAATCCAGAATATAAAGTTAGAAAGGTAAAATTTCAACGCCAAAGTTGTGTAGTTGCAATCAATATTTTATTGATGTTATTTGATTTTTTTTTTCATATAATCGACTCTTTCTCATTGTTCTAGGTAGTATACAATAAAAACGTGCCATTTAAAAAACAATTAGAAATCACTAGAAATACCGATATATTTATTGGTATTCACGGTGCCGGATTGACACATTTGATGTTTCTGCCAGATTGGGCAGCAGTATTTGAAATGTAAGATCAATTCCTTATATAATATTTCTATGATTATACAATTGTAAATGTTGTACATACGTTACTATTTTTTCAGATATAATTGCGAGGATCCTAACTGTTACAAAGATCTTGCACGATTAAGAGGTATGAAATATTTCACATGGAAGGATACATCAAAATTAATGCAAGAAGACCCGGTGCGTTTATACAAATTTTTTTAATATCACTATTATCGACAATCTTTTCGATTATTATAATTAAATATAATTATAATAATCTATAATAATAGTAGTAGTAGTAGATAGTATTGTATGTGAGCAAAGTTCTTATTTAATAATAGACATTTATATATTTATATGCGTAGAATATCTCTATTTCATTGAATTTCTTTTCTCATTCTTTAATAGAAACTTATATTTATGTACAATGTATATATGTGCAATCATATTATTTCTTAATAAATTAATACTTAATTTATAGGGAACGCATCCTGATGGCGGAGCTCATGCCAAATTCACGAATTACAGTTTCGATATCAAAGAGTTCCTGAGAATCGTTTCGCTTGCAAGAAATCATGTAAAAAATCATAATGCGTTTAAGAAGTTTATTAACAATAATTTTCCTACTGAAACACAAAATGATACCGAGATGACAGATAATGAGTCAATGCAATCTTCCAGTTCGAAAGAATCAATCCAATTACAATCAGAATCAAATATATTATCTAAGGATGAATTATAAAGAAAACTTTCATAGATACTAAAAATTAAAAATCTTTGCATATATGATAACAGAAGTGTTACATATGTCATTTGAAATGTATTTAGCACTGATCGAATTCTTTTTACTTATTTTTATATTAATGTAAATATCTATTTTAATAAAAAAAATGCGTGATATACATGTATATAAATCAGACTAAATCTGAGTTGTGTAGCTTTGACACTTCTTTAATTAAAAATCCTTAATTATAAAGTTTGTATATATAAGTAGAAAGTAGCTCTTTATATGTACATATATGTTTAGATATAAATTATATAAATTTTCTTTTCAATTATAAATTAATATTTCAATTATAAAAACTAGAAGTATAGTACAGTTATTATAAAAATGATAAAAAAGTTATAGACATAGATCAGCTCATATAATTTTTATAATTTGATTTGTACTTGAAACCTGTAAAGTACCAGTGCTGAGAATATAGTTATGGCCATGTATACAATTAAAATTAATACAGCTACTGAATCTTTAACGTACAATGTGTACGTTACTAAATTGACAAGACCAGTCATGACGTTACTAAGCAGGAAGAAAAATAGGCTATTGTAATTTACAGCATCAAAAATCTCTAAAGATTTTTTGACTACGTATTCTTTATTTTCTTCTCTCTTATTTTCTATATCTTTCTTTACATTTAAAATTAAATCCAGCATTATTCTTTTCCCTCTTTCTTTTTTGCTTTCAACATAGGGTATATCTACTGTATGATTAATTAAATCCAACACAAAGTCTACAAGTAGCAAGAGCATAAGTAACAGAACTGTCAAGCTCAGTATCCATAAACAGTATCCGGCATTGGCTAATCTTCTTGAAACTTTAAAGTATGAATCACAGAACAATGTTGCAATATATGCAATTGCACATATAAAAGATAATTTAATGCACAACAATATAGACGCATTGTAGCTTATTACAACATCAACATTGTACAGTTTAATGGAAGTGGTCATCTTTAATTTTGTATGAAACTTTTGATATGTAGAATATATTATTCTTCCGACAGCTATACCAAGAAAATATAATCCTACATAACCAGGTACAGAAATTAGACCTTCTCGATTTGCGGAGAAAAACTCATCTCTAGGACTATTTCCCAATACCCACGTTTTTAAACCTTTGGTGTTCATTGTGTATTCGTGCATTCCTAATATCCAAATGCCTGAGAAAAGTGAGTACTTTGAACTAATAGTACTGGTAATCATACTAATGATAAATTTAACAACAGCTAATGTTACAAAAAAATTCCAATGAACGCCATATTCAGAGACATGCTTCTGATATCCTATTAATTCCACTGCTACAAAACGTCCGAGACCTAACAACAACAGAAGCGCACAATTTCGAAAACAATCTTTTAAATTTTTTCTTAAAATGTCTTGAAATCTTGTTTGACGATCAAGAAAAAAATCTCGAGTCTGTGGCGCAACTACGGCATTGGCTAATATAAACAATCCAACACCTGTATCCATTAAACTATATCCATATACTTCTGTTTTTGCAAACTTTCGCGGAAAACTACGGAAATCGACGGCCAAAATACAAATCGCAGTTATAATATTAGTTAATGCACGAAAATTTGTTAAAAAAGGTTTCCTGGTAGCAATGGACGGCACAGCTGTATTGGAACGAATAGTTTTCTCATTCCATAACAGCGTTAGATTCATCGCAGAAATAAATATCATTACAATACACATGCTACCACTATATTCCGACAGTACAGTGCAACATAAGATAGTCGGAATGACAATTAGCATAAACTCTATGATGACATTCACATTTTTGTGTTGAGTGCATTTTCTAAAAACTCCCAGAGTTGTTGTTGTCAACAAGATACCACAAACGTTCGGTAAAAGTGTGAAAATAACCTCATACGGCGTTGTACCTCCGTGATCGGAAACGAACGCTTCTTTTTCGAGTCGGTAATGTTCCTTGGTCACCGAGGATGCCATTGATACAGAAATATCGAATTCTGACGTTCTACGAATGTTTCCAACCTAACTATAATTTTGTACAGTTAACATAAGAAAAAAACATACCTGGCAATAAACTTACAGTCGCCAATTTTCGCCGTTAATGTATTATTTGGATGAGCTTGTAATGTTCATGATGATAAATTATACATCACATCGCGTCAGTTTAGCGCAAATGTTATCTATCCGGTACGCACTTACGTGACAGAGTTCCTGGACGAAGGAAAACGCCTGCGCATAAACATACACGTGCAAGTCTGTCAAATATATGCATATCATTTTTGTATAGCAAAAGAAAAAACTCCAAAAATAACTTACGTGTCCATAAATCTTTCCAAAATCTTGAAATCGCTCTTGCGTTGCATCGAACCATGACTATTAGCAGCAATTAGCAGAGAGATCAATCAATCAATCGATGTGTAGCGGCTCAGAGAAAATGTAGAGAATACACACCAATATATGTACGAATAGCTCTTTTCCTGCGATTTGATTGATGGCACCGCAGCAGTGTCGTAGGCACGGCAGATGGCGCTCATACAAAAGCGCGGCGCAGAGAGAAGACTTTTCTCTGTTCCCGTACGCGTTGATTGGTGCAGAGAGAAGCCTGAGAGCGGCCACAACCATAAGGCCTGTTCTACAATACAGTCGTAAGCTGCAAGTCGTGAGAAATTGACCAATCACAATCGATTATTCTTCTGCGATTTGACTGTAATTGGTCAATTTCTTGCTTCTGACTTCTGATTTATTGCTAATATCTCATTGTAGAAGGCCCTTTACGGAGATTCATGTGCGATGGCCTTCAGGCTTCTCTCTGCCGTACGTATCACTGTACTGTTTTTTAATTAATGCTCGTGACTCGCGTTTCCGTGCGTCGCGAAGGAACTGTTTCTGGGTTTTTGACATTTTTCTACACTGTGAAGTGTCAAATATTTGCACGGAAAAATGGTGAGTGTTTGTGTAGTATTTTTCAATTATTTACATTTTATTTCGTTGTTCTTTATAGTTGTTAAAAAGATATTTTTTTTAAATCATAATTTCAGTGAAACAACGAAAACTGTTTGTTATGGAGATAAATGTTAGGTTATCCTACTGTTAATCGCATATGACAGTGCATGTTTAAGTAATAAATATACAATAATATCGAATACTTGTTCTTTTACAGAGTATTCTTGCATATAACGGCGGTGCTGTGATCGCAATGAAAGGCAAGAATTGCGTGGCCATAGCGGCTGATCGAAGATTCGGTATACAAGCGCAAACGATAATGTCCGATTTTCAAAAGATTTTCGAGATGGGACCACATCTATATGTCAGTCTACCAGGACTAGCCACTGACACTCAGACTGTCATAGAACGGCTGCGTTTCCGTTTAAACCTTTATGAACTAAAAGAAAGCAGAAGAGTTCATCCTAAAACGTTCACTGCGATGATCTCAAATCTTTTGTATGAAAAGAGATTCGGGCCATATTTTGTCGAACCCATAGTCGCTGGATTGGATCCCGTTACAGCCGAACCGTTTGTTTGCAACATGGATTTGATAGGATCCAGAAACATAGCTGAAGATTTTGTAGTGGGTGGAACTTGTACGGAACAGCTATATGGTATGTGTGAATCGCTTTATGAGCCAGATTTAGAGCCCGATCAACTATTTGAGACTGTCAGCCAGGCTTTAGTTAATGCATTTGACAGAGATGCTATCTCTGGTTGGGGTGCTGTTGTTTATATTATGTAAGTATTTTGGAAACACTGGATTATAAAATTTAATTGCCAATATAAGTAAATTAATACTAAGATTTCTCAGATGTTGATATATCTGAAGCAAGAAACTTATATAAAATTTTTGTCCTGCAATTTATATGAAAATAAAGAAGTTTTTTACATGTTATCAACAGTAATTAACATTAAAGAAAAAAACAGTTCCAAAAATTTTATCAATTTATCATAATTCGAATGTAGATGAAGTAATAACATCTGTTTTATTCTTTTTTTCAGAGAGAAAGATAAGGTCACAAAAAGAACTATCAAAACACGAATGGATTAAACTTTTTTATATCGATATAAGCAACAATTGTCTCTTCATAATTACCATTGTAATTAAGAATTAAACGTTTCTATAGAGAATTAAATGTTTTTCTATAATTTAATATTTTTTATATGTGTAGTTTTATATTTTTTTATTACATTTTTTTTATATATATTTGCATGAGTATTTTATACATAAATCTTATATGTACATACATCGATATACCGGATGTCTGATATTCATTGGCTCTTGGACGAGCTGAAGAGCGAGAGAATCTTTTTGTATCTGGCACAAAATATCAGACTTTGCAATAATAGCAGAAACCTCTAAAACTATTCGGAAGTTTTAATACTCGAGTTTTTCTATGTAAAATCAACTATTAACATTTACAATAATAGCAAATTATTATCATCAATAATGTATATGATAAAAGATCAGTTTGCAATAGAAAAATTTTTATCATAACGTAAAAAAATCAACTATTTAAACATCTCGCTTAGCCGTACTTGACCGTTCGGGGAAGAACTGCAAGGCTTAGATGTCTGGTCGTGCTGGCCAGCTCGAGAGTCAAGAGCACCGGGGTGGTGGAGGTATGCACAAGCGAGAACCGCCTCTGTGTGCGCTCGTGGAAAAGAGTGCAGACATATAATATATATTTATATTACCAAACTCTTGAAAATTGAGTCAACAAGAAGTACTGAATATAAAAAAAAAAATATATATATAACGTTTATTCATCTCCGAACTCTTCTCAATGACAGTTAAGATGACAATGGTGCCGCTTGCATCCAAATTGTTAAAGAGAAAAATTCGGAAATGGATACAAAGTTATAGATTTATCGCGGTTCTCTTAATAGAGAGCATTAACAAAATTCTAATTTGTAAAATATTGAAACCGTACTGTAAACTTCTGATAAGATTGAAGTAAAAAATATTTAAACATTTCAATATATGTTATACAAAATATGTAAGAAAGAAATGATTGTCGTTAGAGCTGAACCAATATATTGCTTTATGTATTAAAATAATTTTAAAAAATAAAGAAAGAACGAAGCGGAAGAAAAATCTGAAAATTTATAATATACAATACGTACAAATACGTATGAGATTAATTTAAATAATAAAAAAATGTTTAAAATAGTAAAGATTTGAGCTACAAAAATTGATATATTTATGATTATTCTTTTTTTACACACTTACTTAGTTTTTTAATTAATCCGCTTATGTCTATCATGATTTTTTCATATTTATATTTTTGAATATTTTGTTAAAATAATTCATCGTTAAAACTTAACCGTCGCACTGACCTGTATGTAAATGCAACACCTTGTACATGCGTTACGGGCGTGTTGCGTGCTTTTACGTGAAATATATACTTTTATCGCACGCATACACGCATTGCGTGAAAATGTGTGAGTGTAATATTCTATATATCCTATATATCTGACACAATGACAGATTTACGTATAAAATACTCATGAAAATGTATGTAAAAAATATAAAACTACACATATAAAAAATATTAAAAAAGATACGAGAATAGCAACGATTGTTAGGAGCAAAATACGATTTTTTTATATCGCGCAATCTACATTCTACACTCTATCTGTTGCTATCTATTTGACAGCGCGATTTGTCAAAGTAGCTACAACAACGTGTTGTTTTTGATTTTCGAATTGAAGTCTCATGCATTTTACGATACTAACTAATATCATGAATATATCACGAACTAATATCATGTGTAAAAAAAAGTATCTGACGTATTGTCTAAATTTATCAAAAAGAGAGAGGATATCTCATTGGCATTTAGAAGCATCAATAAACTTAATAATTTTATCAAAGTTCTTGAAGACCTCATAGATCACAATTGCAACAATAACATTGTATGTTGCAATAACTGCTATATATGTGCAACGCATGTGGATTAGACGAAGCGAAAAATAAAAATTAAGATTGCGAAGCTGCACGATATTATGGTGCTCCCTACTGTACCAAAAAGATATACGGTGTAAACTAGCCCGGTGTATTTAGATAATATACAAGAGCATGTGTGATATATCTTTACTTACACAACTGGGAAAGATAGTTCAAAAATTGTCTTAAAAAATCAGAGAAAATGTTATTCTTTCACCGATTAATATTAATTTGTTTGAAGTTAACCACGGCTATCATCTAACGCAAACGCACAGAGAACTCTTTGATTTTGACACACATCTGTCTTTGCGCTACAGATGCCACTATGCCTCTGCCATTATATATAGTTTACAATAAAATTCATATAATCTAAAAAATAAACGGTATTTTATTAAAGTTATTATTTATTATTTTGCTAACCCTTGATACTTTTTTATATGTATCTAATCTCATAAAGATATCTCATTTTTTTTAAGTACACCTATCAGTTTTATACATATAATGTACTATTATTTCGCAATACATACATATCCATGCGGATCTAAAAAATGTTTTTACTTCAATTTTACTTATATGTTTGATGCTTATTGAATGTTTAAATAAAAAGATAGGAAAAAGGCAATAATAAGCTAACACCTGATGTTCGGATAAAGTTCTTTTTTAATTCAAAGATTTTAGAAAAATGTTAACAAACGTTTCAATCCACTATGGGATCTTCTTGAGTGTTTTAATAAAAAATTACAAAAAAATCATAATCTATTCATGAAGAATATTAATAAGAAAAGATACGCTACATAGATATTCAGTAAGAGAAAAAGAGAGGCGGAATGGCAACTAAGTAACCGTATCAGTATTACGCAAACTTCTCAATTTTACTTGTTATCATGAGAGATATAATTTTTTTTCAAGTGTTTTCTGTTTAGATATAAGATAGTCTTTCTAGATTAAAGTGAACGAAATAAAGTGGACTCAAAAAAAAAAGGTTATCATTGTTTGTTAGGCTCGTGAGCTACGAAGAACTCTTAAAACGGAACATTGAAGAAACTTGAATTCAGTTGAAACATTGTACACCGTATCACCGTGAATCATGATCATAACGATATTGTTATTGTTAATTTTGTATATAATATTATATGATTTTTATGTGCATCATAACCGAAGTGGACGACTTCTCCGCTCTATACCAGGTGCACCAAGTATTCCGATTTTGGGTTCGGCACTTTTATTACAATGTTCACAAGGCAAATATCACATGCTTCTTTTTACACACTACGTTAAAAAAAGAATAACAAAATTATCAAAAACTTTTAGATGTTACACTTTTATTTTGAATATTATCTATATTTATTGTATTTTTTAGAAGAGTCGTGGCTAGTTTTACGTTATTTCGCCGACAAAATATATCCCGTTACAAAATTCTGGGTTGGTCCTGTATGTATTATATTCCTTCGTCATCCAGATGATTTGAAGGTATGATAAAATGTAAAAATAGTGTATATATTTCTTTGCAATCATACACTGACACGTTTAGTGACTTATAAATTAATGTTGTCATCTAATTTAAGAAAAGCAAAAATCTCGAAAATTAAAAATATATACATGAGATATTTTATAAAGTGAGTAGTTGTGTTAAAAGTAGATCAGAAAAACTTAATATTTCCAGTGTGTTTTTTTGCACTTTCAGACAATTTTAAGCAGCACGAAACACATCGAGAAAAGTAGATTATATGACACATTACGTCCATGGCTTAACGACGGTCTTCTCACCAGCAAAGGTAATATAACAACATTACCATATCTGTAGTTTTTAATATTTTTGTAATCAATGATATATTATAAATTATTGTTTATTTATAAATTATTATTGTTTTATTTAATGTAAACTAACCGAATTAATGTAAAACTTTGAAACTATGTTTACATTATGAATAGAATTTAAAAAAACCATGTATATAAAAACGTGGTCTAAAAATTTTTATCGGTACAATTGCATCAACAAGATATAAGAACAAATACTAGCCAAATAATGCATGATGCGTTAAAATATGCACATGTCAAAATGTGTAACAAAGCGTGTAGTATTACTCGACTAATTAAAACTGTTTTGTTATTGAGAAATAAGAGATTCATTATAAGCATCATATTGCGTAACGCTTACTTTGTAGTATATAATAATTATTATATTATGTACACACAAGATAGAATTTGTTTTTCTTTTTTTTACTCCAATAATGTGTAATAAATTACACAAAACATTTCTTTCAACCTGATTTATATGATTTTGTTCTTTTTTCAGGGAGCAAATGGCATACTCGCCGTAAACTACTAACGCCTACATTCCATTTTCATATATTACGACAATTTGTAGAAGTTTTGATCGAAGAGGGCAACCATATGACAAACTCTCTGAAACAAAGTGAAGGAACAGTTGTAAAAGATTTAATCCCATTTGTTAGCGAATACACACTAAATGCAATATGCGGTAAATTTTGATATTTTCTGTCATATCTATGCGTGTAGGAATCATACACACCTACAGAGTCAGGACCATCGTTTCTCACGCGCTTATTGGCACACATTTATTACTTTGTATCTCATTAACTATTGCAAATTTTGCAAACTGGCAAATAACTTTTCTATTCAGTTTGACTCAATCTATCTCTATACTTCGGCTGTGTCAAAATTTTACGGACACTCTGTATATAACATTAATGAATACTAACGTCCGAATACTCAAATCTATATGCAAAGTGTTTAGTATGATACAGCTGTTCTACATGTACTTTTAGAAACCGCCATGGGTATTTCTTTGCGCAATTGTGACATGTTTCCGGAACGGTATCGGAAATCAGTATATAATATGGGTAACTTTATTATACACAGGTAATTGATGCGTATATGTATGTATACATATATACACACATATAAATTTGTACATTTAAAAATTGAGCTTGATACTAAATTTCTAAGAGCATTATTATTTCTCTCTACCTTTAACAGAAATAATTTTTTTTTTTTTACACTCTATATACTAAATTAGACTGCCTATAAATCAACGTGATTATAATGCGCAGAATGTCGAATCCCTGGTTGCACTCTGATTGGATGTTCGCATTATCGCCAACAGGTAGAAAACAAGCTGAGATGTTAAAGATATTACATGGTTTTACTGAAAAAGTACGTAAAATGTTTTGTTGATTGCTTTTCTTTTCATTTGCAAAAGTACATATATATTCCAAAAAGTATAAAATTAGGATATTATATAAAATATTTCATTTGTTCATACAGGTCATTAAAGAAAGAAAACTTTATCACGAACACACAGAGGATCGATATTTAAAAACCATTGAAAGTGATACATCGACAGATAATGTAGAAGTGATCGGAAGTACGTAACGCACTCAGATGATATTGTTGTTGAAACTTGATAGTGTAATATATAAAATAAGTTTTAGCGATATTTGAGTAAGATGATATTATAACACAACAAAGCATCTAATAATTCTTTGCTGTATATAAGAAGTGTCACAAAAATTTTATATAATTTTTTAACTTAGCTCGTAAAAAGCGACTCGCTATGTTGGATCTTCTAATAGCGGCATCTCGTGAACATCATATAACCGATTTGGATATCAGAGAGGAAGTCGACACCTTCATGTTCGAGGCACGTACATACATGTGTAGTATGCGCCCAATTTTTTTCTATATTCAGATACATATAAATTACCGAGAAATAGATAATATGTAATTACAGGGTCACGATACTACGGCAATGGGTGTGTGTTTTGCTTTGCTGTTATTAGCTGAGCACAAGGATATTCAGGTATCTCGTGATATATAAATAAAAATAGGAAAATTATGAATAAAATCAATTAATCTTTCTTTATATTTACATTAAACAAAATTAGTTACAGAATATATTTTTTAGAAGTAAATACAGATGATATTCTCATAAAATCTCAGAACCTGTATAAAAAAAAAAACATTTATAATTAAATCAGCAGAATAATACAACTTCCAATAATATATAGGATCGTGTCAGGATTGAAGTTGATGATGTGATAAAAGACAATGAAGGAAAATTAACTATGGCGTCCTTACAAAAGCTATCTTATTTAGAGAGATGCTTGAAGGAATCTCTGAGATTGTATCCTAGTGTGCCTTGGATATCGCGCAAGCTTGCAGAAGATATAAAATGTCGTATGTATTAGCGCGTTGCGATATGGATTTGTCATTATCATAGATATCAGATTATGTTACGTTGTTACGCGTCACTGCATTGTACGTAAGTGTATACATGTAAATAATAGTTTTTTTCTGATAGAGTCGTATATAGTGCCGTCTAATACACACGTGATACTTGATATCTACGCCGTTCAGAGAGATCCTCACTATTGGCCGAATCCGGACGTTTTCGATCCGGATCGATTTTTGCCCGACCGAATGCAAAATCGTCATCCTTTTTGCTACGTACCGTTCAGCGCCGGACCACGGAATTGCATAGGTAAATTGCGTAGTTCGTCTGTTTTTCTGACGAGAAAAAACAGTTTTTCTGATTCATTACGTGTGCGGCAGGTCAACGATTCGGTATGTACGAAATGAAGGCTATGATCGCACCTCTGGTGCATCATTTTTACCTGGAGCCTGTTGATTCATTGAAGAATCTTAAGATTAAGTCGGATGTGATACTTCGTCCTGCTCATCCAGTTCGTGTAAAATTCGTGCCGATTAAATAATTATTAAGGAAATTACAGAAAGAATAGGGGGAAACAGCGAGAAGTTATGAAAAACGCTTGTATTTTGCGAAATAATATCTTAACAAAGTATATTAATGTAGTTGCAAAAATTAATATTATGTTTTACAGATCTCTCTTGGCGAAAAAAGTTCTGCATATACAGACAATTTTGATATGTATTTACATATACTAACGATACTTAATATATAATCTCATATATAATTATATCGATTGCGTAATTGCGTATAAGTATGCATAATCAGATAAAAAAGTCGTCTACAGATAAAATGCTTTTTTTCTACTATTTTCTACTTTTTCTACTGTTTTGTAGACAGCGATATCAAAGAACAAAGCCACATGTACCGTGTGCAAAAGAGCATTTATATTTTATGAATTGTGGTTTAAAACTTAAAAAATGATTTATATGAAGCGTATTTGTTTAAAAATAATTAAAATACAATTATTAATATTGGAGAAAGTGCATCTCTTTACTCGAATTCACATTCTCTTGATTCTTTGTAATAAAAACATTTCGAACGTCTGCATAGTATGTAGTTCTTCATACCTTGATAGATGACAATAAGATTATCTTTTATCATATGGAGAATCAAACGTTATTAAATGTAAAAAGGTCTTAGTTGTTAAATTGTAAAATTGAAAAAACTTTTAATTACTGAAATAACTAAAAATTAGAGATACATAAAAACCTATTCGCTAAATTCAATTTTAACAAACAGACTCATAAATGTCACAGAGCATATTTTTACTAATCGCTTTTCGTGGAAAGGTGTAAGGCTTTAAAGGCCGAAGCACAGGCTGCGTTCCGAGTTACGCATATACACGTATTTATCTATAGTATACGTAAAGTACACAGACTTTTGCATAATGCATAACGTGTAAGATATAAGAGAATCAACCAATCAAAGCTTTCTATAACAAGAAGTAGGGATGAAAACAAAAAGCTGGATTGGTTGAGTTTCTTATGTCTTATGCGTTACGCAAAAGTCTGTGCTTCGGCCTTGTGCTTCGGCCTTTATGAGCCTGGCCACTCTCATCTCACTGAAGTTGGATTGCATCAGCCATATCGGTTGGATGTGCGCAGTGAATATTTTTGGACAATTGTCGGTGTTTTACACCACTTTCTTTATTATTATCTTTAATTTAAACAAATGCACAACTCCGTGGCTTGGCGTCAGGAACCCAATCCACGGTTTTAAACCTGTTATCAAAAAGACATAGAATGGCGTATGGACTAGCTTTATAGGTCTACTGAGCCAAAAGAGCACCAAACCATCTCATCTCACTGCTCTCAGTCTTTTCTCTGGTATTAAAGAGGTTATTGCTGCAATGTCAATCAAGAAGTTATGCGTGGCATTTCAAAGAATTGCAGTAAGCAGAATAAGTACGTATAACAAAGATTATAATAAGTATATTTACATAATTATGTATTTATTATATTGAATCATAACCCAACTTAACCCATTCTTATGTACATGTTCGAAAACTTTAAAACGGGACAAATTAAAAATAAATAAATAACAACGTTTAAATAATTTAACATATACTTTCAATTTTATATTTTTCAGATGTCACAGCAAGATGTTATTCGACACAGCAATCAAAATGGAATACAAACGTAACTCCGCGTCAAAAATCGAATTGTCATATGTTACACTATACAGAGCCGACACATAGTATCAAGTTTACACCTGGGACACTTAACATAGATTTTGGAGTACCAAGAAATACAGATTTAATAAAAAATATTATTGACATGCCTGTCGCAAAGATACCCTCGTTACAAGATCCTGTAACATGGGTGCCTATTCAATATGATTTTCCAGTAGCTGAAAAAACTATAGACCTTCCTGCGATCAAAGAAATCTTCGAGAAACAAGCAGTGCGTTTGATAGTGATCAGACGTAAGAAAATAAAGAAACACAAACGAAAGAAACTGCGTAAGAAAATGGCATACGAATGGGCAAAAGTAAGACAAAAGCGAACACAAAAAAGGGAAAGAGCATTTCATGCGGAGCTTATCAGTCAGATCAAAACAGCAGAAGCTTTTGATCCCAAAGAATATGTCCAGGAAAGACTTAATATTTTGAATAAGGAGAGAATACCAAGAACTTACAGAGGCGAGATTTTGCCTCAAGAAATGATCAAGAAGTTCATAGAAGAAAAGAAAAAAATACGTGAAGAAAAACGTAACATACCACGTTTAACTCTATAAATAAATTGTAATTGTAATAAATTTGTAGTTGTAATAGGATTGCCATACTGTCTTTATTTTTAATCAACGAAAACATATGTCATTTGTATCTACTGATATAAGTTTTTTTTTTTTTTGTATAAACTTTTGAAGCGCGCGCCGTTAAAGTTATTTTTTTATTCGCACGCGTCGTTGCGTTTCTTCAATAGACAGTGACCAATGACAAAAGACCTGTTTTTGTTTTTTTTAATGAACTTTCATTTTTTCTCTTTTTCTACTTTCAAGAAAAAAGAGGAAAGATGAACAATACGAGAAGGGCCCTGTTTGGTTAAACCTGGTTTATGCGGGCAAATAAGGCCTTGTTTATGCGGGTAATAATTGTTAACTTATGCCGGAACTGATACAGTTCAACTATAGGATTTCAATGCTTCCGTTTATATAAAATTGCCGAATGCGTATAAACAGAAATATTTAAAAAGATCTTAGGCCCGCATAAACTAGGCCTTACTGGCAGTACTGAAAAATCTATAGAATACGTGACGTGAACCTATAGATTTTCAATACTACCAAAATAATAAACGAAGAGAATCAAGTTCATCTAAAAAGAATAGGCCTATACGCGTCAAGTACGTAGATCTGGACCTCGATTCTTGAATTTGCGCATACAAAAGTCTATAGTACATGTGACAGTAACAGTAGAGTTTTGTATACAAAAGTTTTTCAACAATTAAGGCCCTGTTCTTATTCTCTGCACTAGGGCCGCGCGAAGCTCTACTATGCAGATGAAGAAGAACAGACCTATAGATCGTAAACATCAATCAGACATATTTGTATTCTCGTCATGATGTTTTTTCTACGAGGTTATAAATAAAAGTTTTAATGATATTTAAATTACTGTGTTTAAATTGTTTTTTAAAAAAAGTTATACAGTAGACAGTTTGCGATGGTTGTGATATTTGTGTGTGTAATAAATTTTACAAGTACACGTATATCTACACATGTTTCCTAAGTGATTGCTTCATTAGTTTGTAATGTTTTGTTGAAAGAAAAATACTTTTAAATCAAAATTGCTTGTAATGTTGTTGCACTCATAAAACTTATTAACTATGTCGAAAAGTACCACAGCAATTGCAAGACCAAAAGTTAGATTTTCCGAAGTTTCTGACAACCCTCAAAACAAAGAGGACACGAACGAACGATATAAGGAAAAGGTTATTCAGCAAACAAGTGGTCCAAGAATTAAAAGCATTATGTCTCTTAAAAAACCTGTTAGAATTGTGGATCCTAAAAAATCAAATGCTGATAGCAAAATTACATCTGAAAGTAACTGTGCGACAAAGATCTTGCCACATTCCAGTAATACTGTATCTGAAAGTACACGAAGTGCTCAGTCTTATAAAAATGTGCCAAAAGTTGAGTCAGTAAAAATTTTATATAATAATACAACCAATATACAAGGAAATGATGGTATATCGCAAATTGATAAAAACGATCAAGGTAAAGTTCTGATGGATTACAAATCAAATGTAGAACAGAAAGGAAAAGAAAATAAAGGTATGATATACAAAAATTTGAGATAAAAATCTAAATAACACAAAAAAAGGCATGTTTCAATCTAGCTGTGTTCTGATATTTACTGCTAGTGCAAAAATCTATTGTATATGTAATGGGAACTAGTAGTTAATATCATACACAGTCAGTAAATTTGTCAGCAACTAGTGATATTTGGAATTAATCATTACAGGATCTAAACATCAAAAAATGACAAAATCCCGATCTGTACCAAATATTAAGTCAAGTTACAAAGTTCCTAGAACAAGATCTTTTAGTTCTAGTACAAAATCTTCCACATCCAGTGTTACGCCATGTTATAAAACTGTGACAAGAAATAGAATATCTCCTGCTAAAAAGATGGTATTACGTGATGTATCGAGTTCGAAAGTTAGAACTTCTGTGGGACCAGGAATTTATCATCCAAAAAAAGGAAACAATACAAAAATGATGCAAAAAAAAGATGATACAAACAAAAGATATATTATTGGATCAGATGCTGAAGAACTGGCCCAACCAAAATACAATTCTATTATGTGTACTATTGATAAGCTAAAAGAATATCAACAACAAAGAATTGTTACAGATATTAATCACTTACCATCTGCACAAAAAAATATTATAAATGGAAAGGTAAGATTTTATAAAAGAGAAGAAATTTGTTCAAATTTGTTAAAGTATTTTTGCAATACAGATTTCTACAGCACTAGATTTTCCATTAGATGAGATACTTTACAAAAATTTGGTGGACTTGAGCATAGCTGAAGAGCAGTTGCCATCTACTATTACACGAAGTAAAGATCCAAAACCTCGACAAAAAGATGATGTACTGAACTTGGCTGACTTCTTCACGCCTGAAGATACAAATGAAGTTTATGAAGTTGTACAAAGTAAACCTCGGATGCCAAAGTTAGTAGAAAATTGGAATGCTTTTAAAATATGTGATATGATTCACGAATGGAAACATAGATTAGATGATATATAGGTTACAAAGTAGCGCTGCAAATGCTTCTAAGCAATGTTCTTTGTTCCTACATTTGCTAAGGAAGATAGATTGATGATTTGAAGCATTTGTAGCGCTACGTTGACTTCAGCTATAAAATAACATATTGCTTTAATTTATTCAACAAAATTATATTAAATATTAAATTGCTGTAATATAACTAATAATAACAATAATAATATAGTAATACACAAATTAAAGAAGTGAAATAAATACAATAATTACATAAATATTATATAACATTACAATTTATATACTCAATATACTGTAACATTTTTTTGTAAACAAGTTAAAGACAATAATATCACTTGTGAAATATACATCACACAAGTGATTACTTTGTAACTTACGTTTAAAACTAGACTATCATAAAGTGTGGTCCAATAAAAAATTATTTATATATCTTTACTCAGAATGAGACTTTTATTAATCTTCCATCCGTTTCAAACTCTGATGGCACTGATGTAGAATTAATTCCATAATATCTCTGACGTAAGTAAAAGTAGAGACAATTCAGATTGTAATAAAAACATGTGCCAGCTAATATCATTCCTATTACAACCGCAGCGATGATTACTCTGTTAAATGTAGACAAAAATTAGCTTTGATACGTTTAAAATGTAACATATCCTCCAAAATAAATTTAATATACTGACATGATCATCCAGATGTTATAATCCTTGTAGCTGCAACATACATTCTCGTCGCAGCAATATTCCCATGATTCACACAATCCCCATACACAGTAATGTGCACAAGCCTGAAAATAAATGTTATAACAGCCGTAATTGCAATTTTGATTAAATTTATAAGAATTCTATAAATATTAAAGTAGAAAGCAAAATTGTGATATATTATTGTGAGATAGAAATGTTTTTGTGATACGGAAGAGCGAGCTTCCCTTTAAAGTATCAGATTTCCCTACAATCTCTATGATAATTAAAAATACATAGATAAGCAAAAATCTTAATAAAATAAAAAATAATATAGAAAATATACATAAATTACCGGTGAAATCGCAAAAATCCATAATAATACAGAGTATACACTACTTGACAGATAATCCATTGTTATGTATGTACGTATTTACCACGATAAAGCCAAGTTGTACGTAAACTACACATGACCAGAGAGAAGACTGAGAGCGGCCATGCTATTGTTGTTTTTTACTACGGTTTCCAGCCGCTACTTTCAGCGCCGGGTTCCACTTTGCGTGGAATTCGCGAACTACGAAACGAGTTCCACTTTCATTCATGTCGTTGGACGTCACGCACACGGACACGGTTTCGTTTGTGTGCGTGCCTCCAACACCGATGCTCTCGATGCTTGGGAGTTCTACTTATCGACAGTAAAGTGGATGTAGCACGCATTCAAACCGAATGAAAGTGAATTTAGCACAGACTCTTACCGAGATACATTTTTATCGTATGCGCCTGAAAGTGGAACTTGTTTCGTAGTTTGCGAGTTCCACGCAAAGTGGAACCCGGCGCTGCAAGTAGCGGCTGGAAACGTCGTAAAAAACAACAATGGCATGGCCGCTCTCAGTCTTCTCTCTGGTATCGCGGCCGTCGCTCTTCCGCGAAGCGCGCGCGAGAACAAAAAATAATAAAATGGCCGGCGCGCGGACGAGAAACACGTTCAATTTGTCTCGCAATTAGTCGTGATTATTATTGTTTTAAACGCAAATATTGGTAGTACGTTGTAACACATCGGGCGTTCGAAGTGATAAATATTTGTAACGGTGCGGAAAAGAAGCAAGATATGGTAGCAGCATCCAAACTTCGCAAGAGAATTGGGCAATAATACTACAGAACAAGGTGAAGTATTATTATAAGTGAACACATCTCTCTAAATCTCACATATATACAATTTGCTTGTATTAATATTAAATAAAATATTGTTTATCATCGTTTATCATTTATATCTTTTTGTATAAATAATAATATACTATAACCATATATAATAATAATAATAATGTAATAATATATTTTATATATAATATATAACTATCTTATTATATGTTTTGCTTATGCATTTCTACTGGTGTGTGAAGTATGCGCTGTAAATACATTGCGCGCGTCGATATTTCGAGAATCGCAATATCGCGCGCTTCGATACATTCGACTTGTGGTGTGGGCAGTTGTGGCGGGCGCGCGACGCGAAGCACAAGTTCGTTCAAATCCTCTCGTGTTTTTCTCGCGACTCATTTGTCGTCTTACGCGCAAATATCAATAATTCGATGTGCGTCGCGAAGTCGAGCATTTGATACGTAAATAACGTCGTGTGCTCGCTGTTATTGCTAACTAGTGAGTTTTATTACGGTGTAATTGTATCGCGGCCGTTGGCTCTCCCGCGAGAGGCGCGCGCGAGACACAAAATGGTCACGCGACACAAAGAAGAAACGCGTCCGAATTGTTCCGTATTTCTCGCTATATATATCGTTTCGCACGCTAATATCGGTAGTATAAGTGTGTCGCTAAGTGTCGAGCGTTTGCGATGACACGTAATTGGCATCGCACACTCGCCGGTAATGCTAATAAACGAACATTATCGTGAAATCGTATCGCGGCCATTCGTGCTTGTCGTGCACGCGCGTATTGACTGATTTTGTGCAAAATATGCGGTATACATTACTGTAAAAACAGTAAGATTTCAGCAAGTAGTATTATAATATACGCCCGTACGACATTGAGTAATCAGGTGAGTGGGAGGAAGGAAGGAGAATGACTCGCGCTTACACGTGACGCGCAGTCAGTACGCATTTACCTTCGGTTGCCCTTCTATTAAGAACATGATATCGCGCATCCCAAAAACACAAGTCACGCAACAGTTCGTTTCTTTTCTGCAAAAACTAACGTTGACACATACACACAAAGTACCGTGACAACATTTAAACATTTTTATGCATTAAATTACTATTCTTCTATTTTTGTAAATTATAACAATATATTAATTGTTTTTATTATTGTCTGGTTTTAGATAGTGGAGAAAGAGATTGTTTATCTTTTCGTTCAAGTCGTCGCATGGATTCTCGTCTGCAAGATGTATCACGACTATTTTTAATCGTATTTAATTAATTTATAATGCGTGTTAGTATGTTATTTCTAAAATATTAAAGTAATTATTGATATTTTATATGATTATAAAACGAACAACTTTAGAAACGCGTTGAAAACTTTGCGTTTGAAAAATTGAACAATATCACGATATTACTCTTTCACAAAAATATGACAATTTATGTAATAATCTTATAAGTAAATATTTGCTAAAATATTGTTTTTGTGCGTTGTTCTTTTCAGACGCAGACAACTATTTTTCATGGACCAAAGAGGAAGTTGCGGCATCGAAGGCGCTAGTTCGGGCGACAGGATACTGGCACGAAGGTATGTTGTTTTCATAATCATTTTGTATGCATAACTTATAACCGTCAAATATATTTTCTTATAGGTCTTTTACTTATTAAATATTAAAGCCATATTTTGATATTAAAGTAAGCGTTAAAAACTTATCTTCAATTTAAGAGAGCAAATTTTCTTTTTATTACAGTGATGTGTAGCAGAAGGCGGCCAGCTCTCGGTGAGTACACTTTAGGGTTTTGGTGATGGTTTGAAATCGGTGCGAACCGCGCGTGTAGATCTTTGTTTTTATAAGTTTTGAAACAACGAGTACATAATTTCGATATATTACGTACTGATATATATGTAATTATGTTACATGTTCACAAAATCACACTAAAATATTATGAATTTTTTATCATACAATAAGTTATAAGTAACACAATTACGATCAAATCTATATAAAAATTAAAAGAAACATACATTCTAGAAAATTACACTTTGCTAGTTTTTAAACAAAACTTTTTAGACATATATGTATTGTAATATGATTTTAAATAATATATTTGTTATTTTTGTAAATTTTTTCTCGATGTTTCAATCTCTATCAAAGCGGAAATGAACTATGACTCAAAATGAGTCATGTGTAAGATATTACTTCAGTAAATCTCGTCGAAATAAACCGAAACTTTGTTCCGTTATAAATAAAACTTTTTCAATTCAAATTGTAAATATACAGTAATTGTTTTCATTCAATTTTGCCAAGTTTTTATATCGCAATATTTTAAAGAATTTCGTGTGTTCAGTTTGATAAAAAAAAGTGCAATAGTGATCAAAATGTGAACTGTGAAAAAAAGTAAAATGTGAAAAAGTATACTTAGACTTGGGTTAAATATAAAATTTTGCGTGTGTGTTTGTGTATATTTCGCGTCTTTCGCGTCGTGAGTGAAAATAAGTGCTACAACATGTGTGGCATACGCAAGGCACGACACAAGAATCACGCTGGACCATTTTTAATGAGAACTGTTGCAGAGGAAGATACATCGATGGACAACGAAGGGACCGCAAAAATATGAGTCAAAATCAAATTTTAAACCTTGGTACTTTTAGCTACAACTGTTTCTTTTTTATCCGAAACATAAATTTCATGCATATTGCAATCAATATGCATATTTTACAATTATTTAGTAAAAATTATAGAATTACAGTAAAAACATTAACTATAATAGACATAAAAATGTTATGTTTTATGAATTTTGTGTGAGATTTCATTATTTTCATTAACACACTAAATATGTATAAAATAAATATGTGTATTCAATGTAGCTAAAAGGAACAATTGTTTCGAAATTGCATGCGTAGTATCCGCTATATCAATCGCACTGATTTCTAATGGCGCAAATAAAGACAATCATATATAGTGATTTTCTTTATTCGCTATCTTTACATAATTTTGGTGGTGGTATATATGAATTTTCACTCAACTCAAAATTCAATTCTGTATAAACGCTTTTTGTAACAATATAATGTTTACAAGTTAACACTTTAAAATTTAAAGATTAAGTGTGTTTACATAAATTCTTAAATATATATATCTGATAAACAAGTGTTTTATAATTATATACATATTAAAATAACATATCAGTTACATATTATAAGTAACGTAACTGGACGGTTCTGAATAACAAAACTTGTTGTTTTACATTATTACAAAACATCTTACATCTAGTTACCATTAATTTAGCTGGCTGAATTGATTGGAACGGTACTGTGTGATTACAGAACAAATTTAATTTCTTGTGTTCTTCTATCGTCTGTTTGTTATATTTAATATTAGGTAATACAAGGAGTTTTGTTTTAAAAATATGCCCTATATACTTGTTCATCAGTCTAAAATTAATCTTTAATATACATTTTTATATAAGTATCTTACCTCTTAAATTATTTTTCCTTTAGTAATTTATTATTGTGTCTTTAAGTACAATTTTTTTCCATAATTATAAGAGTAACAAAAGTTTTATAAGCACAAAAAAGTAAAAACATTAATCAATTATATCAGTGTATTCACAAAAAAAAACTAACAACACAGGATCTCTCTTTTTATGCATGTATATTTAAATAAAACACACATGCAGATATTTCGATTGTAGGTTATCAGATTATATAATAGAGAGAGAGAGAGAGAGAGAGAGAAAAATATTAATTATTTTATTCTTCAAAAACTATTTTAAATTATATATACACATATAATTTAAAATAGTTTTTGCAGAATAAAATAGTTTTAATAGAATATTCTTTATATATACACGAAATTATCTTCTGCATGTGAGTGCGCGTCTTTATATTGTAAAACTTATTGCATTTCTTTAAATGTTATAAATATCCTACAATATTACTTCAAATAATTTCCTTTCTTTCTAATTATAAAAACACTAAACATGATTTTACTTAGAAAATATTTAATAGAGCATACATATACAATTTATCTTTGATTTTATATCTTATACACAAGTATAGAGAAACTGATAAATTTAACAAATGTTTATTTTATTATATATAATTTACATATATAAATATATATAGCTGATTATTCAGATCTCAGTTCTAGAAATTTAGGGAAGATTGTGTATAAGGTAATAAAACTCTAGTAAAACTTAACAACTTGTAAAATAAAATTACGCATGTATTTATCGCCCCTCTAATTATTTACTGAAATCAAGATATTATTTTAAATTCAATTTTTATAATTAACATCTTAACAACCGGCTCAAAACAGAGTCACTATGTAAACAATCAGTTTATTCGCGAATACGCTGCAACTATCGTCTCAGCAACCAGTAAATTATTCTGATCAATTAGTATTTGATAAATGAATTGTCATCTAGTAGTGGACGGCCGGTCAGTAAAGCATTAACAGAGATTATTTAAACATTCTGTCAAATACATATGTACATAAAATATGAAGAAAGTACTTGTGTCTCTTCAGTCCTTGCGGAAATATCACAATCATTTGTAAATTTTACAAATATACTTCTATGCTTCTCTCTTTTAACATAACACGACGAGACCGATCTTTTGTAAGTCTCTTTTGTTACTCTCTTACTAATTAATCGTTTCAATTTCCGTCCTTCTCTTTTTTTTTATATTGTGAAAATTATTTCTAGTCGCACTTACGTTACTTGAAAAAAAAAAAAGCAATTTGTAAAATTATCAATACAACTTACAAATTATACGTCCACGTTCCTTTTGCCGATTGGATATAACGGAGAGGCGCTATTGTATGTCTAACGTCCGGACTTTTTGATCTTCTTACGCAATCTTGACTTAAAACCCTGCATCCCTGATTCAAAATAACATTGCTATAACCACGAGGAATACTATCGCTGCTTGCTACGCGTCTTACGTCATTGGCTTTTCTCTCTTGATAATTTCTCGACGGCAAATTGTCTAACGTAGAGTCTCTAATTTTATATATAGATTGATTACTGCCGAGCAATCTCGGGCTCGGATTGATCGATACTGCTTTCGTGTTATGTGTTGAGCAAATTTTTTCGGCACATCCGTTTCGTCGATTTTGATATTTGTCGTTAGTTTCTTCACTTAACTGACGATCAAGTACATGATGCTCATCGATGTTATGATTCCCATCGTTATCAGGATACTGATTAAATGTTATTGTAGAATCAAGCGAGTCGGAGAATTCCGGGCTGGGAACCGATGACATGCTGTCAATATGGGAAAAAGTGACCGTCCCCTGTGGATTTTGGGGACGGTGTCAGAAACATCATTCTTCTAGTTCATCCATTCTATTTCTAACAGCCATCTCCACAACTTCAAGGCTCGGATAATCCAATTCTTTGACCAAGCACAGTACAGCTGATAGTATATTTGAATTCTAAAAAACAAATGCATGTTAAAAATGATAACAATATTTAACATTTGATAACGACTTATGCGTATTATAAAACATACTCTTGTTACTGGCCGCCTCTGATAGTAAAATTGTGTTCTACATTTGTCTTTTTCGGAATGCCTCACCCAACCGGGCACTTGAGTTGTGTCTTCCTGTAAACATCAAAACTAATTATGTAAAAAATCTTTCTCAAACAGTTAATCTTACATAGTACATTTGAAACAAATGATTGTATAGAATTTAATCTAACCCTTTCGACTTTTTCATTATGAACTGCCATCCTTCTTGGCTGAGGTGTCTGTTGCTGAGAGTCTTCATATTCTAACCTTGTTCTTTCGTCGTAGCTATAGTTATTTCTATCGTTGCGCTTGTCATCTGCGGTTTCACCGACAGCGTACTGTGTACGTTGCGACGTTGGTGTATACATACGCTGAGACACTTCGTTTCCACTGTATTCAGAATAAGCTCGCCTTTCATCATAATCTCCATTGTTCCGTTGTATTACTGGTCGATCATCGTAATCCTAAAATATTATTTTTTATTAAGAGCAAACAATATTTTGAAGCAAGTAGAAAATAGTATTCAGAACAAAGCTCTGTTAGTACGTTTCAGTTCAGTTTAGTTTAGTCATGGTTGTAAAAAGCGGCATGTTAGATAATAGATGGCACAAACACATATTAAATTAATAACGTCCTCTAAGCTGAGTCATACAAAGTGATGTGTAGCTAAAAGACACGTGAATCTGAAAATTCTATCTATGATGAAAAACAATGGAGATACAGTAGTCGTATCCAATGACCATCAGAGTTATTCAATGAATGTAACGATTACTACTCTGTATCGACGATGCGCAACTATGATAAATATACCTTAGATATTTCAAGAGTGTTAGTTGCCACAGTCTCACTGTTGTTGCGTGACTCTGTACGCACAGTATCATCTTTGCTCTGATTCTTTGAATGTCCATTTTGTAGCTGTTAGTATAATCAAGCGAATATAAGACTTTGAAATTTATAATTGTACTAGAGGACTAATACTTTTGAATTAATTAATTATGATGTGAAATTACTTGGATTAATTACTTTTGACCAGATGTTGCATTAAGAAGTGGATTTTATAAACAATTTGTTTTCAGATTCATATATATGTATATAACTATATTCAGTTATTAATCAGTCGTTATTTGACTTTTGAAAATGACTATTAAAAGAAACGTTATTTTTACTTCTATGAATGATGATAAGCATGACTGACCTCATATGCATACTGATTATTTTGTGAGTAATGATGGGATGTTGATGAGCTATAATTTGCGTTTCTTCTGTCAGGATCATATTTGTCATGCGTATGTTGTGTTTCATCAAAGCTTCTCTGAAAGAAAGCAGTTCTATATATATTATTTCAGTTTAATAATTATTCAAAAACCATTTTGTGAGTTAACGGATAATCCTTTTGTAATTCAATTTTTTTCCATCCATTTTGACGTTTGATGTGAAAAAAATTCAATAAAAAAGAATTTACATATATTACCTGATCGCTAGAAGAACTGTATCGCCTAGGCCGTTCCAATTCAGTTTCCTCAACGTATTCAATTGCAATATAATCAATTGCAATATCCTAATTTAGTAAATGTCATTTAGCATTTTAATAATTGTTAAAGACATTTAAAAAAAAGTAAATTAGTTTTTAAATTAATACACAAATTAAAAATATATAATTATTAATATAAGTATAATTTTAATAATGTTTAAATACATTTCTATTATTTTTGTAATATAACATGGATAATAGATTACACAGTATACAAAAAATATAAAAAATTAATGATAATAGTGTAAATATTAAGTCTATGCAATAATAATTTAGTATTTTACCATTTCCCAATATGATATTATGTGATTGTATAAATTAAGTTTTAAGACCGGCCCAGTGATCTCGCGGACTGAATGTGGGATCTGCGAGTAGGGATGTCCCAAGTTTGAATCTTCGGATTTTTCCGGGCCGGTCTCTTTCAGTCGAATTTACCGACTGAAATGCGAACTGAATCGGGCCTCCAATCAGCTAGTCCTCTAATTTAGAGGTTGAGCGCTAGATTAACAACCTAATTTACGAAACAACACCTTGCCCCGTAAAAAAAAACTTGTATTGATTATAAGACTGGAAGTTAAGTCTCGGAGCCAATAGTGGTGGTTCGGAGTCCACCTAAAATAGTAGGTTCTTGCTCGCACTCTAAATTTGAAAACTAGGTTTCTGGAGGCCCTAGCCCGACTCGGGCTGTAGCGCCAATAGAAAAGAGAAGAACTAAGTTTTACCTCTGGACTTGCTGCATCTGATTGGGGAGAAGCATCAACGTCAAGAGGATGTACTAAAGATCGACCAATTGCTAATGCAGTTTGCACTTCGTCGGATGATACTACTTTATCGTCCAATTTTTCAAGATTTGGCAATGCTCTAAGTACAGCTAATCGATATCTAGTAAAATAACACATAGGTTGTAAAAATCTTATAGGTTTTAATAATATTGGTCACGTGTTGAATATTTACCCATCTTTTTCTGCACACGGATTTTCACCAAGCCATAAGTTTCGTAAATTAGGTAATCCTTGGAGATAACAAACTTCATTTAAATCTTTGATATTGTTTCTTCTTATAAATAAATCCTTAAGCTTTTGGCAATATTGAAAATCAGCAAGGGTGTTAATATTATTTATGCTGAAAACAAATATGAATACTTTTTACTATTTATTTATACACTGCATCTTTTGTGCCTAAAGAAAAAGCAAATTTTATATAATTCTCCTCTCTCTCACACATATACACACACACAAGTTATCTTATAAATGCACAAGATGTAGATCATATATTTTTCAATGTTACTCAGCTCAATCACAATGAATACAAAGCATGTGTGGGCAGAACAACTTCTAAAGTTGTAGGTTGTGACCATGAGTTTAATACAATCATGTCCAAAGTAGGAACACATTGCAGTATCTGTGTTTACATAAGATGAGACATATCTTGGATCATGATTATCATTAGAACAGATTCATTCTTGTCTGTGATTTTTTTGCTAACAAACATTTGTAAAAAATTACAAATTTCAACAAACTTTTAAATGACTTTATACTTGTGTTTATTTGTATTATTGTCAGACAAAATTTTGCATGTGTCATAACACAATTTTCTTAGTTTGATAATTGTTGATCTAAAGTTTTGCTGTATCTCAACTTACCTCAGTGATAATACTTCTACATTCTTCATTTTTCTTAAGATGCTAACATCTGTTAATTCTGTTCCCCTGTATCAAAAATTTATATTAATATCAAATGCAGAGATATGAGCTTTGAATTTTTGTAAACACACATATACGAAGGAACAAAACTAGAGCTAAAGCAAACACAAATCTTTGCCAGTCTTCCATCTTTTGTATGTTAATATCTTGGAAATAACAGTTACGCCTGGGTGATTATAAATTCTTTTTTTCCCACGACAAGACGCGTAAAAATTCCAATAACCTAGTCGCGCGATCTTGTTTGTATGAACGTATTGCTAACTTCGAGATAATCGTAATAATCGGAAAATAAGTAACGACGGATGTTATATCGTTAAAGAAACTCCGATGTCGATGCGTAAATACTTACCAGCAATTGAGTTTCTTTACGGCGGAAAAGTCAGACACTCGTGTGCGAGCCACAACCATCTCCTCGGTGAGCTTCACCATCGTGTCATTCGCGTTTACACGTCGTTAGACGATGAAAAATCGACGTACAGTCGTCCGATGAGAAATCTAACGTTGATTTACAATGCGAGATCGAGATTCCTATCACAGCGAATTTTTTAAGCAAAACATGAACATATTCCTAACCGATCGCCATGATGCCTTACCGTCAACTAGTCGCAAAGTAGGTTGCGATTGCTGCGAACAGTGCGAACGCTTTCACTGATTGCGCTTGCTCCGTTTGTAGATCCCCGATTCATGCGCACGCAGCAACTTAAATGGTATGTCTATGCTGCAGTATTCACGCATCTTGGCATGCAATACAAACTACGTGCGACTTTGAACAAAAACACACAACGTATTTGCACATTTTTGAAAATAATATATAAGTCTTATACGTATATATAAAAAATAATAATTGTAAAATAATAACTGAATTGATCTCTTAGCGTTAAAAATATAATTATCTTCTGCGATTTTGTTTTTTTTTTTATTAACGCACACATCGATTCAGTGATATTCGAATTTTTGACATGTGGCGCGCATGCGTCAAACAAGCGGAAGTTTCGCGCCAAGTCTCTTTGCGATCGGATGTTTTGCGGCAAGAAAGTTAAATAATTTTGCAGTTTTTTCTCGTTAAAGTAAGTCGCGCGTATGAATAAATATCGAGAGTGCGCGAAAGTAATACAAGTGATATAGCACATTATTTTGTAATGTGTTTTAGTGATGCAACGAACGAAAACGTACGTACAAGTGGTGTAAGTTCAAATTTCGCACGGCACGCGCAAGAAACAATGTCAAATCTATTTGGTTACGATTACGCAAATAACTAAATTATCTCGTGTTTGTTCTTTGTCAAAAGCTGCATCGTTTTAATATGTTAATTAGTCCGCGCGGAAGAGAGGAATACTAGAATTAATTAATAGTGAATTCAGTTTTCGACGCAACGATGATAAGAAAAGATAGTGTCTGAGAATAGAGAGATGTGTTTTTTTTTAATTTTTTTCCGTAACTATAGGGTGATCGTTACATTAACTTGTGATAAATAAAAGACATTGTTCGATGTAGCGTGTGTACGTTTTTCGTACATATTAAGCAATGGCTGCGCGCGGTCAGCAAACTTCAACGCTTAGTAGGCGCTTTGTGCTTGTTGTCTATGATTGGCCTATTTCTCCCGATCTATTGCAAATATATATATATATGCCAATTGTACACGCAATAGGACACACATTAAGTGCAGAGTGCTTACTCAGCGCTTGATTTTTGCTGGCACAGCTATTGCAAAAAGCAAATTCAAGCGGAGTTTGTGCTCAACGCAGCATAAATATGGGATCACATTGGATCGGTAAGTGACCGTCACTTAAATATGTTTTGGATACAATAATTTATTTTCCATCGTCGCCCACGGCTCCAGTACATGTACAATACTCAATATATAATGATTCAATAATGTCATTAAATACGAAGTACGAAATCTATCTAAATGCTAATTGTTCTAGATCGATACTTTGTCTCGTTTGTTTGTTTTTTTTTTTTTATTTTCATACAAATAAAATGTTCGATAATCAATTATTGACAATTATATTAACATATAGGTAGGTAGGTAAACGTTTTTGTTTTGTTTTTGTCGTAATATTGCGAAGCGTCCACAAACCTACCTCCGTGAGATAAATTAGATATATATACCGACATATATCTGAAATATTCTTGTAAAAACGCCATTTCTACGTTTCTGTTTACGCGCGTGCGTGTTCTCGTGGCAATATAAAGTCGTCCTCATGAAAGTCCGTAGAAACGTCAAGCATCGATGGGAAGACCATATTTCTTACGAAAGCTCAATGCACTCGATATATTCGCGGACAAATGCGATACGATTACGCGATATTAATCTAAATTGGAGAAACGACGAAGAGAGAGATTCAGTAAAACACAATTCAGTAAAACAATCGCTCTAATTAATTAACACACGTGTAGAGATAAAGAAATTGTCAATAATCTATACACATATACGTTATTTTTATTCATAATATATTATATTCATAATAATAATTGTTTTTATAAAATATTTATATATATATATAATAAGGTTTTATATATGTATATATATATACACATTTTTTTGAAGCGCTAGCCTAAGCAACCTGCTCTCAACTTATACTTCAATATAACGAAATCCGATTTTGATCTTTTCATGATTGATGTCGCTTTGTCCGCGAACCACTAAACTAGCAACAAATGTGCAAAATTAACATTACACTTCGTTAATGAGACTGCTTATCTGACGTAATGAACATTGTGCGACTTGGCCATTTGGCACTCACGACGATTGTACGATGACGAACGTAAGAAAATCGAGTCGATTGCGAATAACTGTTCTCTTCGCGTTTGTTCGATAACATTTCGTGTATGTGTACACATGTGTGTGTATACAGGGTATGTGGTTTTTTCTTGTAAGTGCATATAAATAAGTGTGTATACCGCCGTAGGAAAAATTAAAGTTAAAATTTCGAGATGAGACCGTTTTTTGTTCAGAGCCATGCGACATCGGAAGGATGTAAAATTAGAACTGACTCAGTTCGAATGAAAGAAAAGAATTCGATACTCGTCTCGACGGATATCATGACACAAGACCATATGCCGGATATGTATATCGCGTCGCGGCCGTATTCCGAGTAGCTCGTTTCCACGTAGGCAAATATACAGTCAATAGTCGGGATCGATACGATTTGTCTTAATAAACGCGAGAAAGAGAAGTTAAGAACGTGAAAAAGTTCAGAACAGCAGAATCAAACGTAGATCGTAAATCTTATTGCGACGATAGAGCAAATTTGTTTTTTTTTTTTTTTTTTTTTTGGAGGGGGAGATAATTCTCAATAAAACCGAATAAAACACTTGATTATATTTAGCGATAATATTAACCGCGCTAATATATTCAGGTAATGTTGTATAAGAGGTGAGAAAGAGAGAATTCCACTAATATCATGTATGTTTTTTTTGTTTTTTTTTTTTTTGTTTTTTTTAATACTGCTGTCGATTTGTTTCGGTAATACATGATTTAGAGAAAGTTATCGAAGCGGTTTCTGAATTTCTTCAGCTCTAGCATACAGACATACGCTACCCCTCGCGAAATATACACGATAAGAGGTTATTACGCAGCACAAGAGCTTCTAAGCGGATCTAATAAGTTTCGAATGAACTTTGTGTAGTACATCATCGGTAGTACGTATAATTTTTTATTACTCGCCGTCGATTAAAATTACGAATTTCTCTCTCAATAATATATATCAGTCGAGGTGATCTAGCGTTAATCTATTTCGCTCCTTTAAATCACCGAGAAAGAGAGTGATTCTCGTCTCGCAAGCCTGAGTTCACGCGACATAAACTCTCTAGGACACTTCGTTTAAATACGTATAAATTTATATCAAGAGTTTGTGTTTGTTTTTTTTTGTTAATCATCGAAAAATCATCTAAACGTAAGTTCTTCTCGAAATGGAAGATTTGGTTTTTATGCGACGGTGGAAACGACGATGACGTTGTTCTATTTTGAAAAGAAAAATCCGATGAGTTGCTTACACTCAAGTGAAGAGTGATTAAGACTACTTGTTCACTCTAGCAAATGTCATAAGAAACTTTTATTTTCTAGTTTTTATTCTCGTTAATTTTATATCGAGTAAATTCGAGCTTTTAGGACATTTTTTCATCAATTGTCTAGCTATAGAAAAAGCAATAGTTTTCTTTTAATATATTACTATAATATTGTATAGCATAGTAGATTTTACGATTGTATGATTCAACGAGTGAGTCACATGCATACCCTGTAGGAAATATAGTTTAGTTCCGTGTTACTTAGCGTGTCCATCATCGTTACCAGCCGACGCAGTTCTGTTATTACACAAGTGTATGTACCATATATATTACTTGCATTGGTTGTTTTTTTCACACGTTTAAATTTTACGCGGATAGACATCGAAAAAACATTTGGCAAAACACCTGAAAAAGTCGAGGAGTGATTATAGTTCCGTTATTTAGCTGTACTCTCTACAGGGAAAGAGCGACGTGTGTAACATCGCTTTATCTCGAGATTCATTTTAGATCCCATTGAATTGACACCATCTAGTGGATAACGGGTTATCACGGGATATCGAGAGAATGAGAGAATGCATCGTTTTCCTATATGTGAAGCATAGCGTCGATTTTGGTTAGTCGTGTATGTGTATGTGTGTGTGTGTGTGTGTGTGTGTGTGTGTGTACGTAGCCACGTTAGTAAAATATAGAAACTTTGAATCCTAGTCTCTGACAATAATTTGCACTGGCCTTGTATTTTGTATTAATACTTTTTTTGTCCGTCAAAGATATACGTTAAATATCCATATCGCAACTTTTATGATGCTCTTTTTTTAATAATATGTAGATATCTGATGTCTTTATGAAAATATTAAATTACTATAAGCTTACATATATGTGTCGATGCATTTTTCATTAATGAGGTCATCAATTCGCTATTGAGATGCAGCACGCCGGTATATGAAAAGAAATCGATAAAACGTATTAAGAAAAAGTGATTCAATATATAAAAAAGAAACAGTATTTTATATGATAACAGAATCTATCACATAAATGAGATAAACAATTGAATATTTTCATTACTCTTGCCGTCCTGTATGTTTATTGAAAATCAATTGATTATACTTGATCTTGATTTTCTATAATGAATGTAATAGTTAAATAATGTATTTGATTTAATTATAAACAATTTTATTTATCGCGTTGTCTTCGACGATAATAATAAATCAATCTAAGCGAAATTTACGGAACCGACGTGCAAGTTGAAATTATTGTCATCAATGTTGTCGAATTGTTAAGTGATAAATGACGCGACGTCAGGAATATATACTGTGAGCATTGGATTCGAAAACGTTCAAGTCTTGAAGCACGCAAGTACACGAAGTATGCAAATATTCTAGTCCACTAGAGTGTACAAAAGTCATCGTTTGTAGTTTTTTTTTTCGAACATTTTTTTCACGACCGCTCTTCACTCACGCTTTTTCTATACAAATACATTTTACACGACTGCATGTTACGAATTTTACTTTTTTTACGTTTATAAACTAAGACATTAGACTGATAAACGAATTACAGGCATACTTCCGTAATATGGTAATATTCGACCACAGGCACGAAACAGTCCAACTAATATAACA